GCAGCTTCCTTTCCTCTTTTCAGAGTCTCAGGTTTGATGGAGCCATCAAGAATTTCCTGTGCTTACACTTCTCCTTCTCTGAGGTAATACAAGTACTGAGGTGTGCCAGCAAGTCAAAACGTTGCATTATTAGGAATGCCTGTAACACTGATAATGTTGGTTGGATCTTTTTGTCCTTGTGATGAGATTGTGGCTTGATCAGACACCTGTGGTGCTGAACTGCCATGAGCAGCTTCTCTGAAGTCAATAATGTATTTTTCCCATCATTCCTTTCAAATACCTGTTCACAGTGTTTTCCATTCTAGTTTAAGAAGAATAGATTATCCTTTAGATACTCCAGTAAATACTGGTTTAGGTATGTATGTACATCTAGGTTAGAATTGTGTTCTTTTTCAAAGTTGCTCTAAAGTTTGTATGAAGGTGACTAAAAGTAATGCAATACCTTGTTTTTTGTTCTGTCTTTTTGCTTGCTTACAGGCCTGTTTAGTGTTCTCTTCAGGTGAAATGGTTCATGCTTGTTCTGAATGGACCTCTCAAAATATCAATGCTGTGAATACTAGAAAGATTTATTTTTTTTAAATATAAATATTTCTCAAGTCTACAGTGTTGTAACTAAAGGTACGTTGTCCCTTTACCTCTCCACACACCTTCCATATTTCTCAAGTCTACAGTGTTGTAACTAAAGGTACGTTGTCCCTTTACCTCTCCACACACCTTCCTCTTCTTTTTTTTCCCAAAATTTGGTTTGTTTTAAACCTCCTGAAGTGTTTGTATGTAGAAGAAAAGTGAGCTAAAGTAATTTAAAACTTAAACAGTAACTCAGATATTTTATTTCAGTTTTGAGGGGCTTCTTTCAGTTTGGGTTATTTAAACTGAGAGTAGGTATAACAGGTTTAAGGTCCACTATGTGATAAGTCATCCTTAAATTGAAGTAGGTGTCTTTATGTGCAATTTTCCATTTGCCAAATCAAATAAAACTTAATTTATTTTCTTAAACCAAATAGCTTAGAACAGGAGAGATCTTCCCTGGTTCAGGATGTGTTCAGGTGGTGGTTTTTGTTTAAGTGCCATCCACTTTGGTTTCAGTATAGTCTGATGCTTGACCTGGCAGGCACCCAGGATCCAGAAGGTGAAGCAAAGTAGGTGATATCACAACAAACTTCTGCCAAATGGATGGCAGAGGGAAATTCCATTTTTTTTGTAGATTGTATTAAAATTTCTTGTTACAGTGAGGGCAGTACAGTATCCAAAGGCTGTTGTGCTCAGCTCTCTGTTCCTGATGCACAGCTAACACACAAACTGTGGGGTGGAGAACTTCCTACAGCCCCTGAGGCCTGGCTGAGAGAGGAACCGAGGTGACACTTGATAATAAAACAAGACTTTGTGTAATTTTAAGAATAAAATTTACCTTGACTTTTAAACAGGTGACAAAAGTCAAGTGGAGTGGTACAAATTGCCTGTTGGTATTTCCTGAGCTGCCTCACTGGAGTGGACCATCTCCTACAAAGGTTTTTGTATCATCTGTGTCAGTATCAGAACGACTGCCAAAGATGACTGTGCTTCTGTCCTGTGAAGGATCTGACAGAAAGACTGAAAATAAGAAATCATCTTCTGCTTTAAAAATTTATCTGATATTTGCATGTTTTAGAGGAGCCACTAGAGTTTCAGAGTCTCTGTCATCCAGAAGTATTAGAGACAGAAACACCTGTTCCTACAGGTGGAGAGGGAGGTGAGAAACAGAAACCCTTTTGCTATGAATCTTCTACTTTCTTTAGCCACACAATTCTTGCAAGAAATTACAAAGCCAAGGAGTGTGATGACCATGATTTTAATTACTGATGCCACTAACGATGCCAGGAAATGGTGCTGGTTCTGAAAGGAATGCTCCTCTGCTTATACTTATCTTTAAAGAGAATTTTTCTCCTTCTTCCATGCCTTCAGAACTCTGCTGACATCACTTGGGCCTCTGTGCATGGTCTGGCTAAGAGGACACTTTCTGATTTCCAAGAAAAACAAATGGAAATTCAAAAAGCTTGCATCTGGCCTGTTACCTCATCCTCAGCCACCTGGGCTGCTTGAGAGTCATCAGGGCATTCCCAGCTCCATTTTGCTTGCTATATAATAAATTAAATGTCAAAAAAAGAGACATGCACAAAAAGCAGAGAACACTTAAAATGTTACCATAGAATTACAGAATGATTTGAGCTGGAAGGGACCTTAAAGATCATCTGGTTCTACTCCCCTGCCATGGGCAGGGATCTTACCAATAGACCAGGATGCTCCAAGGTCTGTCTAACCTGGCCTTGAGTAATTCCAGAGATGGGGCAGCCACAGCTTCTCTGGGCAACCTCTCCCAGGGCCTCACCACTCCTTTAATAAAGAATTTCTTAACATCTAAACTAAATCTTTGAGTTTAAAACCATTCCCCCTTGTTCTATCACTGTCAGTGTACAAAGTCCCTCTCCCTCTTTATAACTTTAAGTACTGAAAGGCTTCAGTCTCCCTGGAGCCTTCTCTTCCCCAGCTCTCCCAGCCTGGCTGCAGAGCAGAGGTGTCCTTGGAGCATCTTGGTGGGCTCCTCTGGACCTGCTCCAACAGGTTCCTGCTTCTTGTGCTGAAGACCCCAGACTCAGACACAGCACTGAGGAGTCTCACAGGCAGAGTGGAGGGGAAGAATCACCTCCCTTGACCTGCTGCCTGCTCCTCTTTTGGGGAGCCTAGGATGTGCTTGATCTTCTGGGCCAGCTGGAAGGACTGATCTGCATTGCTTGTACATGAATGGGTGTGCTGAGCTTAACACCAGCAAGGAACTAAACTCCAAATAGGCCTCTCTCTTTCCTCTACCCCTTCCAGTGAAGGAGGAACAATAAAGGAGAGATTATGGTTTGATATAACAATTTCCTAATGCCAGAAAGCAGTGGAATGAGACACACAATAGCAGCTGTATTAATAGCAAAAATCTAGAAAAGGGAAGGGTATTCAGCATAGGGAACAAAAAAATGTATTGCCAGATGTTTCCTGTCAATTGTGCCTTTGCCCTGATCATTCCTCTGTCCTGCTCCATGTAGTATTTGGGAAACAAAGGCAAGATGGGGAGGAGAGCTCCCATGGTGAATGTTCCCCCAGCCTGAAAACAACAAAAACCAGAGACAAACACCCCCCAGAAGCTCTGTTGTTCAAATCAGAGCTGTGTAGCCACTTCACTGAGCTCGGTTTTCTGCAGCTGCTCCTGCTGTCATTTCTCCACTGCTGGGGACAAAGAAATGTCCCTGCTGGGGTGCTGACCTCGTGCCACCTGGCCCTGCTGGCTCAGCAGCACCTCAAAGCTGGCCCTTCAGCCCCACAGCCTCAGTCCAGAGGGAGGGGGAAGCAGCAGAGGAACTGAGGTCACCAGAGCTGGCTGGGGACAGTCCCTCTGCTCTGGTGAGTGAGGCAACCTCCAGCTCCAGCCCCCCAGCTTTTCCTGCCCAAAACCCCACACCCCAATGAGGATGTGTGTGGTGTAGCTTGGCCATCCCCATCCAGCACTAAACTCCATCTCCCTTCTCTGTAACCACAACAGCTCACAACAACCTGTTCTTCAGGTATTGAACAACCTGTGTGTTCAATGAAAGCTCCCTGTGAAGCCAAGATGCACATGGTCTATCAACTATTTGTCATTGCCAAATAAACCTTCTTCTTCACAACCCTTCTTCTGAATTATTGACAGCCAGGATTTCCTGCTTCTTTCTGCTTTAATTAGCAATAGTAAAAGATACAGTGCAGTTTTTTCCCATCCACCCTTCCCGGATAAAAGATTTTTGACAGTGCTTCACATGCAGGCAGGAAGGCTTCTATCATCTGTGTTAAAAAACAGACAAATTCAGCCACAAATTCTATTCAGGGAAGCTAGTAGAAATTTAGTGGTGATTACAGATTTCTTTTAATCTAGTCACTGATGATCCCTAAATCTTATAATGTAACACTTTGTAAAAGCAAAGAACAAGGTATTTTTAAAAATTGCACACTGATACCATTTCTGCTTCCATGGTTTGTGTAGTAGCCCCTTGTCATATTATCTGCCTTTTACTAAAGTTTTACTACCTGCTATTGACTTTTTTTCAGAAGACAAAAGGGTAACGTAAAAATTTAGAAATGAAGGTACAAGTATGTGGCTTTTTTGCAGATGCAAGCTTCCTAACAAACTTAATTGAAGAGTCTGCTTATTGCATTTTCATAGCATACTGCCAGAAGTGGTTTTACAGCTGTCTCCTACAAGCATAACAAAAAGATTAAGCAAGTTCTTTAGTACTTTTTTATTAAATATCTGTTTATGAGGGGTCTAGAATGGCAGCAAGCTTCTAATACATTTGTTCTATATGATCACAGTGAGGGTAAATTACACACCACACAAGTATGAATGTATTTCAAGGAAGTGCCTGATTCTATGGCTGTAATTTGAATTTTTTATAGACATCCACAATTCATAGAATTTGAATATGGTATAAATCTGAAAACAGCTAAACACTCCAGCTATCTTGGTATTTATAGTGGTGCTCATGTTAAGAATTGGAATATCCTGCTTGGGTGCTTGGTGGCAAAACAGATGAATTCACCTGTATTTATTTTCAGTTTTGTGAAGACCACATGAAATTCAGCTCTGCTGCCAAAGCTTTCGGGGAGTGAGCAAGAACTGCACACTGTGAAGTGCCCTGATCTTCCCTTTGCAACTGTACCACAATTTATTTCACTTTTCAAAATATAGTATCTTCCAGTCTTTCCTTGGTTCTTATTTAGAAACATGTTTGCTTTTAAATGTATTTGAAGTATTTCACAGAAGTACAAATGAGCCAATCTCTTGTGCTGCTTCTGTGGCCAGGTGATGCATCGTTGTGAAATGCAAATATATCATCTGCACACATTGGACAACAGATGTTTGTGCCAACAAAATCTGTTTATCATTAATTCAGGTCTCAGCACTCTCAAAGGACAGAAGTTCACAGGTAAGATTATCCACATAATTTTTGATTGAAAGGAAGGTTGTTTCTAACATTTTATTCAGAATGTGCCTTCTGTGAATGACTATCCCCTGAAGCAGTCCAGAACTCCAGTTTTGGAGGAATGTGTCCTCACTGGTCACTAAACAGATTTATAGAAGAAAAAGGGGTTTGCACTTTATTTGAAGCATTTCAAAATATATTTCAAACTATATGCAGAATTTACTAGTAAAAAATGTAAAATTCCAGCTGGTATGTCTTTTTTTCCAAGAAGAAAACACCAAATGTTTTGAGTTACAGGACATGTAAATTAATTCTCTACCTTATGTTTGGACTGGAAATTGATGACAAGCAGAACTATTCTTTTTCTCTTGTTCTAAGATATAGTCAATGCTGCAAAGGTAACTCTTTGATTTATAAATAGAGAGTTTTATAAATAGTTTGGTGGCTTTTCATGCCTTCAAGTTTGTGACTTTGACGTAACAGTCACTCGGTTCTCATGGTTGAAAATACCACTAGAGAGGACTTGAGCTAGGGGTAAAAATAAAGACTTCACAATATTATTTTCTCACTATTTAAACTTCCTATTTTATATTTACTTGTATGTAAGTTTATTAAAATGTGTAAGTTTGGCTTGGTGAAAATAATCTGCTATTGTAACCTGCTGAATGAAGAGACAGCTTGTCACTGTTCAAATGCAAAATAGTTTTCTCTTGCACTGAAATCAGAGAGGGGGAAATCACCCTTAATCCACATATTGGTGTGTTTTCATTCTATTTTTGAATAGTATTTACTGACATAAAATATGAGTTTTGTTAAAATGGTGTTGCGAATGCCGTGACTCAAATGTGCATTTTAACTTTTTTCTCAAGACCAGAGTTAACAGTATTTGATCAGAGAGACAGATACAGTGTCTGATGTTAAAATCTTTCCAACCTCAGTTACAAAAATAGCACCACAAAGATAGCACACGTACAGCTGCAAAGTACATAAAGTTTACATCACCTAAAAGATCAAAGCTGAATGATGTAGGGCTGAAGGTGCTGCAGTCCAGCTGCACAGTAACAGCTATTTCTAAGCTCAAGTCAACCACAGCTTCTCTCAGTGTTTCCACTGCCTCCCTCAATTGGTGTAACACAACAGCAGATGCTGCTGTGGAACACTTTGCAGCTCAAGATTTTATGGCTCCCTTTTCCCTAAATGTAAGGAGGGTGCAGTGGTGAGGCCAGGGATCTGTCTCCAGGGCTGATGGGATCAAATGAGCTCCATCTGTATTTGCACACAAATCCCAAGGGTTTGGGCCAGACTTTGGGAGGAGCTGTGGCTCCAGACCCAAGAGGGTGGCTGGTACTAAACGTACCATGAGTGTCACCAGTGACTCTGCAATGTGTTACAGATCTCCTTTTTAGCTTCAAATGCTTTTGGAGTGCGTGTAAATTATGGCTCAGGTAGCATTAATGAGGGACCAGAAAACTATTCTGCACTTGGAGCTATTAAATGCAGTACCTCTTTCTACATGTAGATCAAGAACCACTCCTTAGAAATATCCTTACTCCTAGAGGAAGAAAACCAGCAAACTTTTTTGGAGTTTTTTTTTTATTATTTTTTTAAAGAAATATTAAAAAATAGTACTTTTTCCTCAGTGCCTGGCTATTTACTGCTCTAACACTCAGAAGCTGACATCCACTCTATTTACATAAACAGGTTCTTGTTCTGTGTTTTAAGAGAAAATTCAAATGTGGCTCACTTAGTTCAATTTCTAGTTCACCAGAAGATCTCTTAATTCTGTGGATTTGCCAGGATCCTGATATTCACCTTGTTCTTCCTCAGGGAAGCGGCAGCTGCAGGCATCATCTTCCTGAATTGACTGTTCAGGTGTGTGCACTGAAGAAAAAGAACAGAATCACAGAATCAGTTAGTCCAACCTCTGACCATACACATTGTAAACCAGACCAGAGTGCCACGTCCAGTTGTTTCTTGAACACCTCCAGGGACAGTGACTCCACCACCTCCCTGGGTAGCCTGTTCTAATCCAATCTTTAAAAACCCTTTTGGGGAAGAAATTCCTCTTCATCTCCAACCTGAACCTCCCCTGGTGTAGCTTAAGGCTTTGTTCTCCTGTCCTGTCACTGGTTGCCTGGGAGAAACGACTGACTCCCATCTGGCTACAGCCACATTTCAGGGAGCTGTAGATGGAAAGGTCTCCCCTGATCCTCTTTTTCTCCTGACTAAACAACCCCAGTTCCCTCAGCCACTCCTCAAAGACTTTACCTTCTAGATTCTTCCTCAGCTTTGTTGCCCTTCTCTGGACTCCCTCCAGCACCTCAATGTTTCTTAAAGTGAGGGGTCCAGAACTGGACAAATGTCCCCTTTCTGTTTCATTTATTCAGCCATCTTATTTCACCACCCCTCAATCATAAATGCCAGGAAGAAAACATCTTCCAAGTTATTCCATCATCTGAAATTATTTCTCTACAGCATGTACACCTGATAAAGCTAATTTATCATACTTTGTTTTCCCTAATTCAGCAGGGCCTCTGGTGCTCTGTTTGTCATGGCAATAAAAGGAAGACCAGTGTGAGAGAAACAGATTTTTGGACTGCCGTGGTCTTCTGTATTTAGAGTTCCACTAGAAGATTCAGACCTTGTCCTTAAGACAGGGGAAAATAAGAGAAAGGGAGAAAGAACCCCACAAAAAATGAAACAAACCATCTAAAAACTACATTGAATGAAATCAGCTTCATCTTTGTGCTGAACTCTAGAGCTTGCCCAGGACTTAGCAGTCCTCAGAGGGCAGTGCTGGATTCAGGCTGACTGCAGGAGTACACCCTGACTGATGTCCCCTCTCCTACTGCAGCCAGACTTCCAAGACACGCACTCCAGGCCATGGGTACTCTCTGTGAGCAGAGAGAACTCGAAAGTGGTACAGCCATGCAGGCCAAGGATGATGCTTGGAAGTAATAAACTGAACTGACCTTTAACTGGAGCAGCAAAGTTCAGCTGAGTTTTTTCATCTCTCACAAATACTTCACTTCTAAGGTTAAACATGCACTTGACCTAACACCCACAGTGCTTTCTGCAATAAAATTTCCAAAACTGTTTCCCTTTCAGTTGCTTCTGACTTACAAGGCCAAAAAAACCAAAGCTATTGCAACTACCTTTGAAATCCACTTAACCTGGATTCCTGACTTCTGTTTAATTTCAAAAAGAAAAACTGAAGAGCGTATTTATCTTACTTTTCTTGAAGACAGAGTGTAGTTTCTTTTTCTGCCAGACACTGAAGCAGATGCACAAAGGCAGCAGAAACATTATGCACGACAGTCCAGCCACAGCGAGAGAAATCCTGATCATGTCTGTCTGAACAGTCTTCCCTAAGAAATAAATAACATTCTCTAAGAGAATTAACAGAACAAAATTCTACTGCCCCTGAATTAAATGAAAACTTTGTCTCCCACTCTGCTTCTGGATCAGTCTGCAACACTGGGAATACACAGAAGAAAGGATTTTTGCTTTAAATGGAAAGTGAATGAGCTACAGTATGTTTAAGTAGGTCATAATGCTTTACCTCCATAGTGACTCACCTGGCACAGTTATAGAAAATGGAATTTCAAGAGATGTGGTAGGTACAGTAGTGACAAAAGTGGGATTAACTGAAGTGTGTTTGCAAATGACATCTTTTGCTGGAGTTCCAGGTTCCAGGACTTGGTTTCCAGAGCATCTGAAGGACATTTACAGCAAAACAGAAAAATTTTTTTTTAAATTCCAGTCAAGTGTAATAGCTGTAGCACATTTTCTTTTTTCAGTTTACTTACATTGTCCAGTTTTTACAGGAGCCATTGGGCTGATCATTAAAGGTTCCATTGCGGCAAGTCTGGCAACCTTCAGCAGACAAGGATAGGTAAAGCATTTCAACATTTAAGCATTTAAGACACAACATATGACACATTATTTTTGCCTGCTTTGTACAATGTCAGAGTTACTATTTCATGAGCTGCTCTGAATATGCAAGGTGTTCCCCTGTCAGCCCCAGAGCAGTTCAGTACTTGGCTGCAAAGCCAGTTGATTTGTGCAAGATGCCACAGACTGTGCCTAACTCCAGAGTTCCCAGAACAGTTTCCCTCATGCTGGCAGCCAAAGAGCTGCCATGCAAAGGGAACCAGCTGGTGCATGATGTGAGCTGTAGTAGGGCTCAGTGTGGTGGGTTTGTCTCCTCCTCAGCTTACTCCACACACCGTGCAAAGTGTTTAGCAGCAGCGGCAGCTTTTATCTTGAGAGGTCTTTACTGCTTCTCCACTGTGCAAGAGGCAGTGTGTCTGGTGCAGGAAGCAGAGGGGCTTTCAGCTGCTGGGGAAAGGTGATCCTACCGTTCCTGGTGCTCTCCTGGCCCACGCCACAGCTTCGGGTGCAGTAGGTGCAGCCATCCCCGCCGCAGCGATAGCCCTCCTTGCACGTGCACTCAGCATCACTCGTTGAGGAACACGTTTTTGAATACTGAAATAGTCCTGCAAGGGGAAAACATAGGTTACAGCATACCCGGCACGGTGCAGGAAAGGCTCGGGCCTTTGCTCTTCACAGAAACCAGGCTGGCGGCTTCAGCGAGCATCCCGGCGGACGCGCGGCGTCCCCAGCCGGGCAGTGCCACTCTGCTTCCTGCACCAGACACACTGCCTCTTGCACAGTGGAGAAGCAGTAAAGACCTCTCAAGATAAAAGCTGCCGCTGCTGCTAAACACTTTGCACGGTGTGTGGAGTAAGCTGAGGAGGAGACAAACCCACCACACTGAGCCCTACTACAGCTCACATCATGCACCAGCTGGTTCCCTTTGCATGGCAGCTCTTTGGCTNTAAACCTGGTTTGTTCCATTTGCTAAATTCTGTGGTCTGCTCCCCCATCACACATGTGCACATGTGTTTCTTCCCCCACAAAGTTGCAAAATAACCCAGAAAATCTGTTGGTGAGATTTTGCAGGGGCACTGGTCGAGTCACTGTTAAGTCACAGGAAACTCCTCATGAAGCATGCTGTGTGGAAACTAAAAACCAGACATGAGGTCAGAGCTCATGCAAGCCCTTTCTGTAAGCACTGACCTGGGTAGGAGTCAGTCGTCTCGGAATGAGTGAGGGTGTGCGAATTGAAAACAGCTCTGCCGCCCACCCTGACCCCCTCTCTCTGGCAGACACAGGTCATATAAAGTCTTGATTAGGCCAGGCTGCTTCCTTTTCTGCTGCTGATGTCCTGTGCTTCTCCCTTGCACAAGTACCTTAATCTTTTGATATCATAATGCATTCTTTTTAATAGACTCATTAGGTAAATAGGATTGCTGTGAATATTGATTGAAGCTAGTGAACCATTTTGAGGTGGTTCAAGTGAAAGAACGTGCAAAAGCACAAATTACTGTTTAATTTCAACATAGGGAAAGATTCATACAAGGGGATTTGGCTTCTAACCACATTGTCTTTCTACCCCCCTCAGCCACTTCCTTCACAACCATCTCCCTGACAGCAGCCCCTCAAGACATGGCCTCAAAGAGAGCATTGGTGATTCTGGCTAAAGGGGCAGAGGAGATGGAAACTGTAATCCCCACTGATGTTATGAGAAGAGCAGGGGTGAGTATGCAGACAGTGAGCAATCTTTGTGAGTGCTTGGTCAAGGGGAAGTCATTGCCTCAAGCTGATGTTCATTGCCAGGAATTCAGTGTGTGGTCTGTTGTGTGAAGTGAAAATTTACCCTGATCACCTTACTGCTAACAAATATTTGTGCCGTGCACCTAATGAGGATGCCTGACAGCTGACATTTGTTGGTAACCTTTCAAAATACAGGTCTAATGTGGACTAGAGCAAGTGTTTCAAGTAAATCTTACTCTGTCAGAAAACACAGCTACTTCCATGTATAGTAACTGGAAGTGCCTCTTTTGTAGGGGTCTGAAAAGCTCAGTACATTACCTCTCATGACATTGAATACCTTTTCTTGAGCTACTTTTGAAATTCAGTTATTAACTACAGTTCTGGCTGTTGGGATTCCTCACTTTGTTACTCTTGCAGTTATAGTAGCACACTGTTATCATCTCATTAGGAATGAAAATAATACTTTAATTAAACACACCACTTATGTAGAAATGACTGAAACAAAAATTACCTTCTCCCACCACCTTTGTCATTCCATGTGCTCCCCATTTTGGCTCTCCTAAGAGGAACAAGCTCTCAGTACAGCTGTGCTTGTTCTGTGTACCACTTAAGAACTAACATATAAGAAAAATACACCAAATTCTCGTTTTGTAATAATATATTTCTTCTCCTATTAGATCAAGGTGACTGTTGCAGGCCTAACAGGAAAAGAACCAGTGCAGTGCAGTCGAGATGTCTTCATTTGCCCTGATGCCAGTCTTGAAGATGCCAGAAAAGAGGTTGGTCATCACCCTTCTGTGATATAATGGCCATCATAATCTTTCTCACAGTTTCTGAGGAGAATTTGGAAAGCCTATGCATTATCTTTGGACAGATGTTGCATTTTGTATTTAACTGTATTTAACTCTGTGTAGCAGTGAGTTACAGAACTGCACATCCCACTGTGCCTCCCTTCAGTGATATCCTGTTTCATAGCCTGCTAGGTTCAGACAGATTTCTTAACTCTGCCCAGGTGATTGTTTTCCAGGTGATTGTTTTTGCAAAGCATCAGTCCCAGAGCTTTATTTTGTTGGCTGAACAAAATACTGTGATCTGGGCCAACTCAAAAATTCTGATGGGAAGTTAAATGATGTTAGACCTGTACAGTAAGATTGGAGCAAAACCACTTGCCTTTACAACACAAAAGCTGTCACTTGCTTGCTGTAGCTTTTAAGGGCACTAGGCTTAAAAGTCAGTTCTGTGAGAGACTTAATTGATAATGGGCTTTCCCTGGAACAGGAAATAGTGGTTTTTTTTCATAATTGGAACTGGTTTTCTGATTATAAAGTTTTATTCAGTGTAAGAAAAGGTAGATTTATTAGCTTTCTGCTTGAATCAGCTGTAGTGGTCTTCAAACAGTGTAATGTAAGTATCAGCCTCTATTCAACAGAGCAGTTTTATCTTTCTTTGTTTAGGGGCCTTATGATGTTGTGGTCCTGCCTGGAGGGAACCTTGGAGCTCAAAACTTGTCTGAGGTAAAGTTCTGGCATTCTGAAAATGTATGGGCATTCTCATGACCAGTGGGGTGGTCAGCACTTGCTTAGTAATCCTGCAGATTCAGTTCATCTAAAAATTCTCTTCTGAATGAATCAGTAAACTAACTGTTAATGGTCTTAAGCCTTCTTGTGATTATGTAGGTGGGACATCTGGGTAAATTCTGGGCCATGACTACCAAGTGAAACAATAAAAATGGAAAGGTCTTGTGCATTATGGGAAGATCTCTGTTTGTATTCATATGAAGATTAAATGGTTGCAAATGAACATTTGTTGTTGAGACACAAAAATTTCCAAGCCCAAGGGACTCTGCTCCTTTGCAGAATTTTGTCTCTGGTGCAAAACTGTTGCAGTGGTGGTATGAATTCTTTGTGGAAGTCAATCAGACAAACAATGGACCTATCAAATAGGGTTTAGGTGGTATCACAGAGTTTGTAACCCATGGAGTATGAGACAAATATCCTGTATAAATCTTAAGAATGATAGAGACTGTCTGGAGGTATCTTATGAATACTATTCTCTGTTGGTCCTGTATTTTCTAACAACAACTTTCTATGGCCTTGGGTTAACCAGCTTTCATGTGGGTCAAGTACTTCCTTGAAGTTCCTTCTGATTTCCTTCCTCTTTAATTCTGGGGAAAATATGTCTTGGTTTCAGTTTTGTTCCTTCTTAATGTTCTCATTGCCCACTGTCCTGAGGCAGGGAGGGAAAATTCCAGTTGGTTTTCTGTGCAAAACATGTTTATGAAATTTCAGTGAAAACTGTTTCAACTGTGCTTCAAATAACCAACTCCAAACCATGACTTGTGATGTTTCTTCATACAGTCTGCTGCTGTGAAAGACATTTTGAAGGACCAGGAAAGCAGAAAAGGCCTGATTGCTGCCATATGTGCAGGTGAGTTAACAAAGGGTCTTTCTTTGTAAAGCATTTGGATGTTTTGAAGGAGCATGAACACACATGCACCTTTCAGCATCTGATTTTTTTTGTAAATTTAATAGCAGAGAAATCTCTAAAATAATTGTGAACACTTGTCCTGCAAGTTCTGTATGTTACCTAGTTCCTTCCAATGAGCTGTGCCACTGTCTTTAAAATAAACAGTGAAAGGTACTGTGCTAGGATTTTTTTTTTTTTTTAAAGTATGTGCTTATTCTGGTGATCTTTCTGCAAATACACAGCACTGGCAGAATGTCATTGCTGTAAATTTATCTCACATAACCACTCCTGCCCTTTAGCTCCAGAAAGAAGGCCAGAAATATAGAATTACATTCTCACCCTTCCTGAGCTGCAGCAAAAAATGGACTTGGTTTGAGGAGAGGGTTGTCTGCTTACATATTCTGCACAGCTTGGTATCCAGATCATAAACTTTGTAAGATTTGTTTTAAAAAGCAAGGTGAAAAATTGCCAATACTGTACCTGAAGGCTGGTCTAGGCACCTGAAGCTGAGAGTGAGAAGAGAGATGATGAATGCATAAAAGGCAGTCAGAGTGTGTTCCAGGAGGGGATTTTCACTTTTTTTTTTTGGGTACATTGCTGGGGGGGGGGGGGTTCTGTTTTTCTTCTTTATTTAGATACTAGGCACACAGAGCTGTGAGCATCCCTCAACTTTGCAATGATACTTTTTTGCTTCTTTACCTGTGTCTCTTGCAGAACAATCCAAATTCATAGACTGCCCAGTAGAGGCTTTTGCTTGTCAGCAGAATGATTCTTAGAGCTCATTCCAACTGAGCACAAAAGAGGTTATTTCCTAAATCCAGAATTAAACAAATGAACAGAAATGAAACTCATGTCAGAAAGATTCTGCCTTTGGTTTCTTTTGGAATTCCCATAAGGATTTCCTGCCTGACTTAGCACTTCTTGACACAAATTATTTCATCAATTCAGGCTAAAAAGGAAGTATGAAAAGAAAAGAGAAACTCTTGAAATCAGAAACTGAACAGTTAGTCAGTGATCTGTCCAAAATACTGCTTGGCACACAACTGCAGGATGTAGAGACTTGCTGAAATGAAATCCTGTCTGTTAAGTCTCTAAATTCAAGGTTTAACAAGGTTGTAAAGTAATTGCAGGTAGTTAGTGTTCAGATTGAAATGCAAACCTTTTGTTTCTTAACGTCAAGCAGTTTTAAATAAAATGTCTGGAAGTGGGTTGTTCCTCCCTCCTTCAAAGGCAGCACAGTCATGGGTGGGACATCAGGGTGAACTGTAATGTCAGAGCTTTTTGCTTCAGAGATAGGGCAGGCATCAGTTTTTATAAAAAGTAGTCTGTCCACAGTGAGCTTTGACCCCTAGGGGTCCTAATGCCCAAATGTCTGTTCTTGTAAGTGTTTGTAGCAGAAGGCAGTTCCTCACTGGTGCAACTTTGTGTTCTCACAGGTCCTACTGCCCTTCTGGCTCATGGGATAGGGTATGGAAGCAAAGTCACAACACATCCTTTGGCCAAAGACAAAATGATGAATGGAGGTATGCTTCTGTCCAAACCCTTCTCAGTTTTTTTGTTGTTGTTTTTTTACCTGAATCCACAATTTAAAGAAAGGAAAAGAGATTTTTATCTTATTTTTCTCTCTGAATTGAGTCTATATCACCAGAAAATAGAGGGTTGTACTAACATTCTCATCCTTGGGGGAATTCTGCTGCTGCTGTCATGTTAGAAGCATTTGTTGCCTTATCCTCCTGAGGCTGGAGGATCTCTTGTCCTTTTGGTTCTTTGCCTCAGTGGTCCCAACAGCAAACTCTGGGAACATCTTTCCCACTCTCCTGTGAGTAATGCTTTGGTTCTGTGGCAGCTGATGACTCCACACTCCAGCCTAAAGGAAGTGATGGTGAAAGGCTTGGAAGGTCATTCTGTGATCATTAATGAAGCTGGTGATGAGCAGATGGGTTCCCCCAATATCTTCTGCATGCATTTGGGAAAATGTTTGTGAACAGCTTCACAAAAGCAGTCTGACTTCCAGAAGTAACCTCATGGGAGCTGACAGGCTCAGTGAGCACTTCCTGAGGAGCTTTTAGAGTCAGAGGGCCATTCCCACACCTTGGGAATGAGCTCCCTGCAGGCCCCATTCTTCCCTGAGGACAGCAGGCAGAGATAAGGTCCTTGTGCCCTCTGTGGCAGCTGTGGGCACGGTGCTGGACACTGACCCTCTTCCTGTTGTGTGTTCCCCCAAGCACACTACTCCTACTCGGAGAGCCGCGTGGAGAAGGACGGGAACATCCTCACCAGCCGCGGGCCTGGCACCAGCTTCGAGTTTGGCTTGGCCATTGTGGAAACGCTGCTGGGGAAGGAAGTGGCTGAACAGGTGAAGGCACCTCTAATACTGAAAGAGTGAAATCCTGGTGTGGGATAGGGACTAGGACAAATTTAGATAGTCTTATCCTTTGTAGAATAACTGTAATGTGCACTGTTGTAAATACACTTTAATTGTGGGTGAAATTAGTAACTGTACTTACCTGAACTGGGATACCTTAACAAACCAAAGGTCTTCATTTCTGGAAAAAGATCCTGTTAGCAAAAAGCTTCATCACAAAAAAACAGTCAGCATCTAATAATCCTAGTTAGTTCTTGGATGGCATTTAAAAATCACATGGAAAAATGTTTGCTGAGTAAATAAAAATGGAGCATCCCTACTGGTGTGTTGTTCCTTTCTGTGTTTTCTCCCAACCCAGACCCATGAAACCTTTTTACCACCATGTACTATTCAAAACAACATCTGTTTAGATTCCCACACAGTTCTTCTGAAGTCTGAGCTGAAATGAGAAGATGGCCAAGCCCTGGAACAAACTCCCTAGGGTGGTGGTCATGGCCCCAGGCCTGCCAGCATTCAAGAAGTGTTTGGACAACACTTCTCACAACACTTCTCTTGGCTGTATGGTTTAACTTTTAGGTTGCCCTATGTGGAGTTAGGAGTTGGTTTTGATAATCTTCATGAGTCTCTTCCAACTCAGGACATTCTCTGATTTCATGACATAGATTATTAAGTTGTAACCTAGAATTAGTTAAAACAATGTTTCATTTCTTGTGTACAAATAAGTAACTAATATTTTCTGACAGTGTTGGAACTAAATTGAAAGTGTGAATATTCATACCTTGTCAAACATCCCAGTGTTCCTGCAGGTTGAACATGATACCTTGAAATTTTCTTTTGCATTAAATGATTGCTGATTCATTGAGCTATTTGGGCAGCTAATAATCAGCATAGAGCATGAAGTTTAGATTTGGTAGAATGCCACCAGTAGCAGAGCTTGGTTTTGCTTACTAAAAATTGGAAGTTGCTACAAGCCTGGCTTAAGTGAGCCTTTGTCAGCTTAGAGGAGTTGCAGGACAGGTCTCTGGAGGAAGTAAGGGAGCTGTATTCCCATGAGAATTAAGAACTTGGCATCAATTTCCGTCTTTGTTACCTTTCTTTCACCAAATCATTCTGGTGTTACCTGGCTCCGTCAGCAATCATGCTTAAGGATGGCACTTCACTGGACTCTGAAGTTATCCCAGCATCTGGAGATCTGGTTCTGCATACATCTGAAGTGCATAGTATGAACTTTAGAAAATGACTGCACAGGAGCCTTTATGATTGCTTATTTTAATAGGAAACAAGTTCATTCCCAATTACTGCATTTTCGTAAGGAAATACATGGATACTTTTGCAAATTTAGAATTAAGAAATGTCTGTGTTGTTAATAACTACTGGAAGAACTGCTTCAACTCTATGCTCTGTCTCTTAATTTGTTTAGGAAATATTTCATATGTTTCTCTAGCTTTGAAATATGCTCAAGATATGCAAAAGTTGTAATCTATGTAAGATTTTACATGTTTGTGTGGTAAATCTGCACATCTAACTGGTATTGCCATGCAAATGTAAACCAAATGATGGAAAGAGTCTTTGTCCTAGAATCTGGAATAATTACTTGATTTGTAAATGGGCATGATTCAGAATACAGGAAAAGCTCTGCATTCCTGGGTGGCAGCACTGCTTTGTAACATTAGAAGGAAAATATTTCCATGCTTGTATTGTTTTTAGTCTTGCAGAAATATTTTAATACAAAGCATTAGCAAAGTGGTCATAAATTTGATTATAATGTTTTTTCTTCTCCGAGGCTGAGGGAGTTCAATTTACAGAAATGAGGTTTTCAGTGTGTATATTTGGGCTTTCCCACTCCCATTAAAATGGTAATAGGAAAAACACTCAGAAAAATGAGCCTAGAGCCCATGGATGTATCTGCTTAACTTGCAGATTCTTCCACCATGTTCAGCAAAAGACTTGGTAAATAAAATATTGTAGTGCTGCGTGCATCACAGTTACCTTCATACAGCTGACCCTGTTCTCAACCTTTTACATTGCAGATATCCAGCAAACATGAATTTACTTGGGTTCTCTTTCTGTTAGGGTAAGTAAGTGTATGAACTGAGATTAGGCTAATTTTCCTCTTGGGTAAGTGTTAAGAAGGAATTTGCTGATTTGAGGGAAAAAAAGTTGCCTTCCAGTTAGCAAATGCTTTTTTTCCTTGCATTTCAGTATCTCTTTTCATGAAAAATCCTCTTTTACCTGCTGCAGGAAGATGAGCTGAGGTACTTTTCTGCTCATTGTTTTGTGTACACTAGGAACTTTGTGCCTTTTTATTATTTGCAAGCTTTAGTTTTAGAACCTGTGGTAATTTGGTATCTGCTGCCACTGGGCTCGGCTTAAACTGAAGGGAATGCATCCTCTCTTTATGTAACATTTAGTATTTTGTTCCCTGGCAGCTGGAGGAATTGGGGGTTGGTTGTTTTCCTGGTGGGAAGGCAGCCAGTTGGTATCTGCTGTATGCCTCGGATCATCTCTCAAGAATAATGTGGGGTTTTTTTCTTCTGATTCTGGTTGTTCTGTGGGCTTGAATGCATCATTGAGAACGAGTTCTCTTAGGGAATTGAGAAGTATTATATGGCTTAGGAGCAGGAATGTACACAAGAGGATGCTGGAGCCATCAGTGAATACTTGCAGTGATGAGAAGTATTTTCATTCAGACTGACAGGCTTCTAACTGAAGAGGCAGAAGAAACATGTAGAGAGCGAACAGTCTGGTTTTGTTGCAGTTCTTTGCAAATTTCTTTCCAAAAGGGGAAAGTGAAGTGCACAGCACTGTACTGTCAGCAGGAGCAAATCCCATCTCAGGAAAATGTCCCTCTCAGCAACATGGAAAGGATGTTTTTCTAGAGAGACAAAGGTTTTACTTTTAATGGTGACAAACAGAACCATAATGGATCCAAGCTAGCCTGCACACTTTAGTACATAAAACTGTAAAAGCACACAAGGGAATGTGCTTCATCCAGCAATTACAAGCCTTGGACAGCTTGCTAGCCATTTATGTATATGCTTACCATTTGGTATGAAACCCACAGTGACTGTCAGAGCAAAGAATGGTTGCTTAATTTGATTATTTTGTTTGTTCTTTCAACAAAAAGATGCATCATGATGCAAACATAAACAATGATCCCAAAGTGATAAAAAATACCTGTCTTCCAGCAGCCTGGATGACCCATGACTTAGTTGGAAAGATGTGACAGAGAAGTAGGAAGGTGTCAACTACAGAAATAATCCCTAGCACTGCATCCATACTGTCATTCATGTTCTCATACTGTATCTCCAGAAGAAAGGCTGTGTTGCTGTTATTTGGAGACTACATTTTAGTAAGGCATGGGATGCAACATTTGAAGTTTGAAAAATAAGCAACAAAACACTGGACAAATTATTAATTGCTGCCCAAAATTGTAGGTAATATTTCAGCATGTTTAGAATGTGGTCTTGCACGTGGTACAGAAAGAAAGGAAAATATGTAAAATGAGAGCAGATGTGCCTCCTGCTGCCCTGATTTGTCAGCTGACAGTATGGCTCTGACAACCCTCCCTAGCTCTGAACTTCGATGGGTATTCTACAGTTCTTGCAGCATTATCACTTGGCAGAAAATCAAAAGCTTTCTGGGAGGAACAGAAAAAAGGGACAGGCTTTCCTTGCTGACACAATTTATCTGGCCTTCAGCCTCTTCCTGCCTCCTCTTGAGAAGCATCCAGGGAAGGGCAGGGACAAGGAGCAGATTGTGGGAATCCCTGCAGTGGTGCTGCCTCAGACACTGGCCCAGCTCCTTCACTCAGCATGTCCTGTGTGGAAAGCACTGCAGGGCAGACCTCCCTCTTGTCTTCCAGGAGCATCTGTGGACACTTGGCAGAATTCTGTGTGCAGAACACAGGGAGGGAATTGAGCCCAGATCTGTATCCTGGGTACACCCACAGTACATTGCTATTTAAGGGACTAGGCAGCATTTCTGGCTTGTGTTTTTGTGGCCATGCTTTGGGGAGCAGTGCTGACACACATGATAGGCTCCAGAACTGAGTCCAGACTTGAGAAAATCACTACCCTGTGTTTTAGGTAACACAATTCTTCCATGTGGCCAAGGTGCACTGGGGGCTGCTCTGGGTGGTGCAGCAGTTAAGGGATGCAGTGCTGTGTCACACTCAATCTCTGTAGCAGCTCTAGGAGCCCTTCTGCTCTCTATGAGATTGTTCTGTGTGCTAGAAGGCATCACAGATTGAGAGGAAGCTTTTACACTTGGACTTGTTAGTTTGCTTTACTTCGTTCAACAGCTTCTAATTATAAGCTTTGTGCAACCTTAAATAATTCCTCCCTACATAGGGTTTATGGCCCTCCAAGTCATGTAGATACTTCTGTACTTTTACAATTTAATTCAAGGCCATTCCTCTAATGGTAGAGGGAGGAAGAAGAGAAGTTGTCTAAGGATCTCATGCAAGCACTCATATTCTAAAGAGCAGAGTTGGGTCTAGTGAGACTTGTGTAACACTGGTAACACTAAAGTTTTCCACAGCTGGTGGAAGTTTCCCAGCAGGACTAGGGACATTTCTGTGCAAATCCTTCTGATTTCTAAATATTGATGGTGTAATTATTTTTACAGCTTACAGTGGCAGCACTGAGCCACAGAGAGAACTTGCCTGCAGTTCAAGTGTGTACTCAGTTCAGAAATAGCTTTAAAGTACTGCAGCCATCCTCTCCTTATGGATAGTTATAGTAGAATTTCCTTTGGGATTCTCAGTTTTCATCACTTCAATCTTGTAGAGCTGCTGTTCTGAATCAAAGGAATCCTCTGAATTCAAATGGCAGTTTCTGCAGCTGTCTGTCCAATTAAAATATTGTCTGCTTTGTGCTGAGCAGAAGAATTCTTCCACTGTTAACTGTGTAGTTTGACAATGGCTCCAGATACTTAAAAGATCTTTGTTTTTCAGCAGAGTATAAATTCAAGGTGTATTTTTGTGACTTTATCTGTCCAGTCTTGTAGCAAATAGAATTTTCCTGAATTCTGTGTTTTTATTTGCTGTTCAAGACTTAGTGAAAAGCAAGGTGATTCCTTTCTAAGCATCAGTGATGTTCCCCACTGGTAGCTGTCCTGTATTCTGACCAGGACTTCCCAGAGTCAATTTTCAGGGTTTTGATAGGAGCTTTCAAAGTTAAATGCATTACATGCTGGGTTAAGCAGCAGCTTTGGGCACAGATCCCATCATGGCCAGTCACACCTGGGCCTTTTCAGTACCCTCTGCTCATGGCCCAGGAGCTCGGTGTAAGCTGGGGCTTGGGCATAGCTTTGATCTTTGATGAGCCTGACTTGCTGAGGAAGCTTCCCCGTCTGATTTTGGACTTGTCTCTTTGCTTTAGAGCTGCTGGATGATTGATCACTGGAGTACTGGCTGAAACTTTGCTTCTTCAATGATTCTGTGGTCAGACACAGGACCAAGTTTCCCACAGAATTTGTGTATGCCCCATCTTCGGAAATAGGAGGAATGGAATTGAAATGGCCTCAAGTGCACCAGGGAAGGTCTAGATTAGATATTAGGAATTTGTTTTTCACAGAAAGGGTTGGAAAGGGTTGGAACCGACGTCCCAGGGACTGTGGTGGAGTCACCATCCCTGGAAGTGTTCAGAAAAATGTGCGGATATGGCACTTGAGGACGTGATTAAATGGTGAATGTGCTAGTTGGTTAACAGTTGGACTTGATCTTAAAGGTTTTTTCCAACTTAAATGATTCCATGACTCTGTGAACCCACAAGACCTGCTCAGCTCTCCTTGTTCAGGTCCTGCAGTGCTGTGTCCCTCCGTGGTGCAGGGTCCTGCTCTAGCTGACCATCACCAGTGCTTTTGATCTCTGTCTGCCACGGGGGAGAAGCTGCTGCTGTTGCTCCCTGACAGCCAGTCCCACTGTGTTTACTCCTGGAGAATATGGGATTTGGTGCTGGGGGAATACAGCATCATCTGCTGGCTCTAAACCTGGCAACAAGCATAATTCCTGCACTGTTCTTTAGCTGGAATCACTTTGGTTCTTAAAGACTCTGTTCAGGGCTTTTGCTCTAGAATTTAGTATTTTCAGAATTTCTATACTATGAAGAGTATATTCTATTAAGTTTCTTACATCTCTTCTCTAAACTAGGTATTTGGTTTCTCTGTGCTGTGAAGTTCCAATGAGTTATGCTGTCAGAATGGTCTCTGTCATTTCAGAACCACTTTTTAAAGCTGCACACATTCTCCTCTAAGTAGTGTCAACTCTGGGAGCTGCCTACTTTTGTGCATTGAAATATTTTCAGATTTTAATGACAAACACACTGCTACTTCCACACACTTGCAGCTCTAGTCTCAGACTCATACTTTCTCCCTCATTATTTTGTCTATGATGTGGAAAAAGCACTCTCACACTGAAGTCACCAGCTAGGCAAGATAGTGACTGGCAGATAGGCAGGAAGTAAGCTGCTGCCTTGGGTAGTGATGAGACTGATCACTGATGGACACAGCACTATCATTTGCATTTTCCACAGGAAATCTGCTCTTGGAGAATTGCAGCCTCTGAGAGAACTGGCAACAGATGATGCATTTATCTGTGACTTTTGTCATGACCACATCTGATATACTGCTCAGCTGTTCTTCCATGGTGTTTTGCAAAGGAGTACTTTACCTTCCTTTCAGTTATAGAAGGCAAAGGAATGCTTATACTAGGAAATTAGTAATAATGAAGCTCTAAGCTCCTGGATGGGTTCACAGAGACACAGGCTTTGCTGGCAACT